TGCCTTGCAAGCCGATCGCGTGTCGCTCCGCTCCGCGGGGCGGGAGGCTCGGAAAGGCTCAGGGAGTTGACGCCTGGGAGCTGGGACGTGGAAGTGGTTGGCGTGTCGCGCCGACGCGCGGTGGGCCAGAACTTGCGGCGCGACACGCTAAGCAACGTTCCCGACCGTATGGCCCAAGCGCGAGAATCATCTCGCATCCCCGCAGAGGGGGCCCAACATAGACATGGCTGTACCCTTCTCTGGCTCCCCACTCGGGGGCGCAGCGCAAACGAGCGCCCGCGCCACCCCACGCGCATCCCTGCCTTTTAAACCATGTGGCGATGCATCAGCGCAGCATCGCGGAGCGCATCCGAATTTCTCGCCGCGCCTCTTTGCGAGAGTCTGGCCGCACTGGAGCCGGTCGGGATGAGCAGACCACAAGCTGCCGCCCCCCCTTCTGCGCTCGATCGCCGTGCTCGGACCCTTTGCGGTGGGTGATGGCGGCGGCAACGAAATCAGACCGAGTGCTAGAGAGAGGGAAAGAGAGAAAGAGAGAGAAAGAGAGAGAGAGAGAGAGAGTTTGCCACCCCCGTTCTCCTCCTCCTCCTTCTCCTCCTCCTGCGTCTGTCCTCCGTCCCACCTCTTGTCCAGCAGCGCTGCCTGGAGGCCGGCAGAGGGACGCATGGACCTTGCAGGATCCTGCAGGATCCTGCGCCCAGACCAGGATCAGTGCGACCCTGGCCCCTGGCCCTGCAGGATCCTGCAAGATCGGGCGCTCTGGCTGACCCCCGTTTGCACTGACCCCCGTCTCTTGAGCCCCGAAAGTCTTGGGGGGCATGCCCTCCGGGTGCCGCGCCCTGTCAGGCCCGGTGCCTTCTCGGCGGGCCCCCGCGCGGCGATAATTGGCGGCGCGCACAAGGGGGTAGGGGGAGGGGGGAAGGCCTCTTAGCAGGAGGCTGCTTCTTAGAAGGCGCCAGCCTTGCATCTACAAAGAGGGCCCGCGCCCTCTAGGAAGCAGGGGTGCTTCTAAGAAGCCTTCCCCCCTCCCCCCCACCCCCTTCGGCGCGTGGCCAGGGTAAGGTGCTGCCGGGGCGAGCCGGGAGCCAGCCTGGCTCTGGAGGACGAGGTTCGACGTCTGTGCTCCGTGCGCTCCCTCTCCCCCGACGACAAGGGGGGCTGCAGACCCTGACCCCCTCGAGCCAGGAAGAAGTCACCGCGGGAGGTGTTCGCTATCTTCGCCCCCTCGGGGCCCTTATCACCGGGCCTCGGGGCCGTCAAAGAACGACTCGGAATGAAACACTGGTCCAGGGGAATGGGTCGAGGCCTCGGGGGGTCGACGCAAGGAAAAAACCATGACGCTGGGGGTCCGGGGAGACGGAGCCTCACGCAGGCACCCGACAGAACGTGCGCATCCCGGAGACGGAGTGTCACGCACGTGCGCATCCCAGATCGGCTCCAGTGCGCGGTCGCGAAAGGATCCACGGCGTGTCTACGAAAGTGGAAGGCCTGGACATGGGCACCAACACCAATCCAGGGGTTTGCCTCAGCAGGGGGAAGATGATCCTAGATTTCGGTGTTGGTGGTAATATTTGGACCACCTGGAAGCTAGAATAGTACCACCGTCACCGAGATCGGGATCTTCTTCCCTCGGTGGAGGCACACCGCCGATATTGGTGTTGGTGTCTACCTCTAGGCCTGCGAGAAAGGATGCTGCCGCCAGCAGTTGGTGGGCACCCCCCTCCTGTATCTCCTCTTCGTCTTGGCGGCGAGCAGAGAAGGCCGCGGGCCGAGGGGGCGCACTTTTATACGAAGCGAACGCGCCTCCCTCGCATTTGACCACCCCGGCTTCCAAATAGGAGCCATGCGATCCCAAGCTGCCCGCCCGAAGCGGCCAGGTTGCTTGACGAGGAAGCGCGTGGTATGACTTGGTTTTGCCCGGGAGTGAAAAAGCGGGGTCGGTAATTCACCCTCTGATTCTACATGGTCGGAAACCTCACCGCCTCTCACTGGAGGTCTTCTCGTGAGAGACGGGGCGCCGTCTTAAAGGCCCCCCCCCTCGCCCTGGACCTCTTGTGCGCGCCCCCGATCGTCCTCCCCAGCGTAGACACTGCGAGCAAGACTCAGAAGTTGAGCAAAGTGCCACCGACGTGCCCTCCAAATACGGGCTGGCCCTCGCCTCAGCTTCGCGGCCGAACCGTGGCCGCTGGGTGAGAAGCTGCCTGCCGAGCTCCCTCCCCGATACCCGATCTCGCGAAGCAAACAACTACGCGATAAATGAGCGACACATCTAAAACAACTACAGTAGTCAGACCTAGGCCATAAGAACATCCTTCAAGAACATGAGACCCTCTGGCGGCCAAACCAAGCAGAACATCCAAGAATACCTTCCCAATGGTGCACAAGAGCATCCAACAAACAGGATACCCTCCCCGAACCGACCTCGATCTATATACGTCGGTCCGACTGCACGACCCGAACTCGCGACCCCGGATCTGGAGAGGACCGGTCCGATAAGCTCACGGGGTCCGGATCGGGGCCAGTCGTGATGGTTTCGCGACGCCTATAGGTGTGAGTCCCCTGCTGCTGTTGCTTCTCGCCCGTCGAGCTTAAAGTTAGCGCGCGTGGAATGGGCTCGGAAACAATGGGTACAATGCTCACCAGCAAATGCTGTCTAAATCCAGAATCGGCAGCAGCCGCTGTTGGGCAAGGGCTGCTGTCGGTCTTCGTCTCCGTTCTTGTCGTGCCCATGCTGATCCTCCAGATAAAAAAACAACGGAAGACCGCACACACCTGATCCTTCGGAGGTCGCGCGGATTTCTTAGGTCGGCGCTGGGCCCCCTTCCCAGGAGCGCCTGGGAGGCGCTGCCAGGGGAGCGAAACGCCGACCCAAGAGTTCTGCGCGGGCCACCGACCAGTCCGTTTGCTCCGTTCCTGCTCTTCGAGGAGCACAAGGCACCACCCAGGAGACCTCCGCATCCCCCTCCTCCCCCTCCTGCTGCTCCACCGCGTCCTCCGCCTCCTCGTCCTGCTTCTCTATTCCTTGTCCTTATACGTGACTCCTCCCTGTCGCACCCCGAAGCCAGTCGAGAGGGTGGGCTGGGCGTTTCGCTTGAGTCGTCCTCACCACTCATGACCCTGAAGCTAAAAAAGTAGCAACAGTTTCACAGATGGAGGGCAGGTGGTTTGCAGCATGTGGCTCTCGCCTTAGCGCAGCGTGCGTTCGTCTTAAACATTTTGCAAGCGTCTCGCGGATTGAAGGCGGTTCGTCTTCAAAATGTGGCTCTCGCCTTGGCGCCGCTCATATGCATTTTGATCAGCTACAAGAGCTTCACGGATTGAGGCTGGTTCGTTTTCAAAATGTGGCTCTCGCCTTGGCGCCGCGCACGTTCATGTCAAACAAGTGTTTTACTGATCCTAGGTCCTATGGGGAACGTACCAGAAATGGTGTTTTGGACCGATTCATGACTGTCAGTGCGCAGCAGTTGCTTTGACTCGCGGTGAAATCCCAGGAATGGTGTTTCGGCACGAGCCAGGGCCGCCGGGGCCTCGCAGATAGTCTGGGCTCGTGGCGTCGAAGCCCTGAGAATCTGGACTTCGCACGCTCTCGGCTTTTTGCACGGTTTTTCCCCGAGCGGGGCAATTTCTTCAGTGGGGATAAACCCTTGTAGGGGCATATGAAGGGGGAGCCTGGAAGGAGGGTGTATTCCAACATCGCTGATGAATCTTGGGTTTACACTGGTCTCCCTCGTCGTCGTCGTCGCCGTCGCCGTCGTCGTCGTCGTCGTCGTCGTCGTCGTCGTCGTCGTCGTCCTCAGGGTCGGCTGCGCCCGCCGCGAAGCCTTCACAATCTGCGCGGGCCTCCGACCATTCCGTTTGGGCCGCTCCTGCCCCTTCGATGCGCACACGGCACTTCCGGGGAGGCCTGGGGCCCGCCCGCAGGACAACGTGCTTCTCGGGCGTAATTATGGTCCCCGGCACCTCTGGGTCGGGAATTTATCCAGACCTCGCCATCGCTCGGACGTCCATTCCCCGTGTATTTTTCACTTCCGTGCGGTTGTTTTCTTCACAGGGTGGTCCAGGATGCTCGCCGATGGCCCCCGCCGGGAGGAAGAACGCCTACGTCCGAGAGAGGCCAAGGGACCCACGCCGCAGGTGCCTGGAGGGCCGCGTAGGGCCCGTCAGGGGTGCCTCCGCCCCCTTCCCGCCCTCCTTACCACCCGCCACTGTACACCATCACCATCACCATGTGCTCACTCCCCGCCCCTGCCACGGTGTACACTCGGGTCGGGCGAAAGGGGGGGATAGCAAAGGGGGGGTTTGAGAATCAGCTCACGTAGCTGATTTTCCCGGCGCCTCACGGCGCCGGGAGGCGCCCATGTATCGAGGAATGGGCCCCTCGGTGGGGCCGAAACCAGCTGCATGCAGCAGATTTCGTAACCCCCCCTTTCCCAATCCCCCCTTTTCGTCCGGCCCGATGCACGCCCTCCTGGCCGGAGGCCAAGGGGGTCCACAAACCAACCTGGGGTCCAGGATGGCGCTGGCCAGGCGTCGTGGAGGCCATGGCAAGAAGCCGGCGTGTCCGGAGCGAAACGAGCCATGGGCCCCAGGGGCCTTCCCCCAAGACTTTTTCCTGCCCGCCCTGAGCTCACCAGCCTCGAACGTATCCCTAACCCCTAAGATTGACACGCCAAAAGGCGATGACAATCCTAGGGATTCGCCCTCAAAAACTGAGGGAACCCCTAAGATTGGCATCGTGATGAGGAGGTGCCCGGCATAGGGACTATGGGGACATGTTCCAGGCTGGTAATGAGCTGCTCCTTGACAGCCCCGTGGCCCCTGGGGGCGCCCCAGGGGGGCCCGACCACGGCGGACGGACAGCTCGGGACCCGCTGTGGAGCCGCTGCCCTCCTGGCGAGTGCCGCCTGCGGTCCGAGTGCCGCCCCGGCCGGCGGGCGCGATCCTCCGACCCGGCCGCCCCGCCGCCGCTGAGGCCGCCGCCCTGCAGACAGAGCGGGAGCATCTCATCGGGGCCCTCGCTCGGCACCTGCCGCCCACCGGCGCTGGGGCCGCCCACCCGCTGGCGCCCCTCCTCGCTCTCGCCACGCCCCGGGGGCTCGTGGCTGGCCGCGCTCGGTCCCGACGTGCCACCGTGGTTCGTGACCCGCCAGCGTGCCTCGAGCACGCGATGCAGCGCCCCTCGGACGGGGACTCCTCCAACGGGTGCTCTGGCCAGCGTCCCGGCGAAGCCAGTCCTCCTCCCAGGATGTGGGCAACGCTGCAACGCCAGAGAGAGGCCCAACGTTTTGGTAATCTTTCGAAGTGCCCGTTGGTGAGTACCCGTTGCGGTGCCGCTGAGCCAACGGCCCCTGAGGTCCGGGCGTCGCGGTCTTTCCCCGCTGGGCGCCTGCCCTCGGCCCCGGGCCTCCGGGGCCCTCGCGGGTGGATCCGGCTCGAAGAGCGCCGCAGGAAGACGGGGCCCAGGGCTCTGGTGAGAGTTGCTCTCGCGAAGTTGTGGCTTTTCTTCGCGTCGCACCTCGGGGGAGCGCGCTAGAGCTCCTGCAGCTGTGAATGTCGGAGGGGCTGTGGACCTCTCGGGGCCCAGGCCCCCCGGCCTGCCAAGATTCGCCAGGCTCTTCCACGGCGTGTCGCGTGAGCTCCCCCGGCCCAGATGTAATTCAAACTGTTTGTCTCCACATCCAGAGTTGGCTTCTTGTTTTCTCTGCACACGCCCCCGCGAAGGATCTCATCTCCTCCCCCCTCTGCCCCACCATCACCATCCCCATCACCATCATCATCGTCATCATCAACACAGCGGCATCACCCTCACCATCATAGCCATCGTCATCTTCATCATATTCATCATTATCTTCATCTTCATTATGCTCGTCATCATCCAGACTCTCTCACATAATCACATACTCAGCAGCAACATCATCATCGCCATCACTGTCGTCACTATCATCGCCATCATCATCATCATCGCACACCATGTTCTCTCACACGCATCATCACCGCGCCATGTTCTCATATTCGCCATCACCATCATCGTCATCATCACCGCGCCATCATCGTCAATCGTCGCAACGCCATGTGTTCACCGTCACCGTTCATCTCTCTCTCTCTCTCACACACGCTCACACAATCATCCCGATGAGCACTCGAGCGCATGCCTCGTGTGTGAGTGAATGGAGAGGAAGTCTCAAGCGGGAACCGCTTCCCAATGGGGCCCATAAAACATGTATTAATCCGAGCGGGTCAGCGGCATATTTTTCACGCAAAGCACTTGTGCAAGGGGCAAACCGTGAGGATGTCTCTAATGAGGGCGTCGTCTATGAGTGAATCGAAAAGAAGTCTCAAGCGGAATCCCCTCCTTATGGGGCTCGCAGGTCATGTTACTAATCCGAACGGGTCACCGGCATATTCTACCAAACGTAACACTTGAGAACCCCACGGGGGCAAACCGTGAGGATGTCCGGAGCGGTGGTCTTGTCTGAGTGGACAGTGGACAGCGAGGAAGTCTCAGTCGGGAGCTTTATCTTCATGGGGCCCACGCTTATTGTTTGAATCCGAAGCAGATCATCCGAATCTTACCACGCATAGCACTTCAACACGCCAAGGTGGCAGATCGTGAATATGTCGAGAGCGGTGGCCTCGACTGTGAGTGAGTGGCGAGGAAGTCTCGACCAGGAGGCCACTCCGTGCGGGGCCCGCACGTCATGTTCGAATCCTAAGCAGATCATCGGCGTACTCTAGCAGGCATTGCACTTGAGTGCCCCAGAGAAGCAAGTCGTGAGCAAATGGCGGGGAAGTCTCGAGCGGGAGGGAGCCCGCCTTCCTTCCCTATGGGGTCCTCAGTAATGAGCGGGGCCATCTGAATCCTGTAACCGTTGTCAAATTTACCCCCTCCCTGTGGGGGCCGCACTTCAGGGTCCAATCTGTAAGACATCTGAAGCGGGAGCCCCTTCCCTGTAGGGCCCGCACTTCATGTTCGAATCTGGGATATCGGAAAACTTGAGCACCCCAGGGGGGCACTACCAGAAACAACTCTCCAGTGGCAGAAAGCACATGTTTCGGCGAGGAGGAGGAGGAGGAGGAGGAGGAGGAGGAAGAGGAGGAGGAGGAGGGGGAACATGAGGATGAGGAGGAGGAGGAGAAAAATCTAACGAGGACGACGAGAAGGACGGGGAGGAGGAGGAGGAGGACGAGGAGAAGGAGGCGGTCAGAGGGCGGGAGGAGGGCCTCCGCCAGGGCGAAGAGGAAACGGCGAGGGGAAAGCTATACAAATTCTCGTGTGGGGTGCTATACCGTCGGAATAATCCAGGGCCCCCACGTGCTGTGCGCCGGGCCCACTAGCGAGTGAGTTCCGAAAGCCCTGAGCCCCCCGAAGAGGACATCCATTGGGAGGTCAACCTCTACTTCCGCCGGCCGTCGGCCGGCGGAGCCGCCCTGGGTTCACCTCCGCCAGCTTCCGCCGACCTTCCGCCGAGGGAGATCTCCGAACTCCTCCGACATCCTCGAGACCGAGGCCCTGTTCTGGAGCGCGCCAAGTGTTAGGTCGGGCATGTCCTCCTACGGGCGGACGCTTGCACGGAGCATGGGCAACAGTGGAGGCAATGCCAGCATCGTCAAAACAGAATCCCCATGCCAGGTTTTGGCGGGGCTGTTTTCGAAGACCCCTCCTGCAGAGGGGCATGCCCGACTTGAGCCAAGCGCCCGGGACCTCTCCCGCCCGTGACGGCCCCGATGGCCCCCCCTTCGTGCATGGCGGCGGGAGGGCCCACGGGCCGCTGGACCCGCCGGCTCCCCGGGGGGCGGTGGGCTGTGAAGCAGCCCGCTGGGCTGCTGCCTCGTGTGCGCTTGCGGGTCTTTCGCTCTTCTTCGTCTCCGGTCTCTCCAGTCCTGCCTCCTTTCCACGGCCCACCCTGTATACACACGCGCTACGATGTTCTCTTGTTTTTGATCCATACATATGTATGTATGTATGTATGTATGTATGTATGTATGTATGTATGTATGCATGTACGTACGTATGTATGTATGTATGTATGTATGTATGTATGTATCTCTGATAAATCAATGAGGCAACGTTGAGGAGCGATTCGCGAACCATCCACTCCGAATCACGCGAGCGCTTCGCTGTCACGCCACAGCGCGATCCCACAAGACATGTTGGGGCACATTCTTGCTGTAATACATGTATATACATATACATATTTGGGGCACATCCTTCGTCGATCTCTGCGGTTCCGCAAGAGCCCAAGACGGCAGAAGATGAGCCCGATATGCGTATGAGATTGCCCGCGGGGGCCACAAGGCGCTCCGGAGAAAGCAAAACAAACTGATCAACAGTTGTGCGTTGCAATGTTGTGTTGCATGCCTCATGGTCTGCTCCTCGGACGTCGCAAGGTCGCTTCCAAGACGGCACCCAGAGCCCGAGAAATCACCCCCAAGACTGCCCCAGTGTGGCCCAAAAGGGCCCCTGATATGCCTCAAGTGTCGCCCCAGGATGGCCCGGCGATGCTCCAAATGCCCCAACTGGGCCCTGGAGGCCCCATCATAGCCCCAATGTTGAAGAACATGTCTCAAATAAAAAGCCGAACTCTATGCACCGACGCTTTTTCCGGCCCCGCACGGAAATTTGCACAGGAACGCGGATCATGGTGTATATGGGTCCCTGGTGTATGCATTTTTCGCTGTTTCCCCGGGAAAGCGGGGAAACACGTATACACCACACCACCCCGACGTCGTCCCCGACCCTCAAAAAGTCCTGGGATTGAGCAACAGCCCGCCGCTGGTAATGTATCTGCTCCAATGTCCGATTAAGGGTGGCCTTAGACGCCTCAAGACACCACCAAGAGGCCCCAGATGGCCCCCAAACTGATCCAATATGGCAGCAAGTCTGCCAAGCCGGGGAGGGGAGGCCCTGGAAGCCCCTCACAAAGCCCAAATGCTGAATTACATGTCTCACAGGGGGCCTGAGACGCCTCAAGACACCACCAAGAGGCCCAACGCGAGTTGCAGGGAAGCGCGAGCCACGCGTTTCCACCCTGCCGAAGCCTGCATCGCCGTCAGCCCGTCTGCGCCAAGAGGCCCCGAGATGGCCCCCGAGCTGATCCAAACACAGCAGCAAGTCGGCTAAGCCTGGAGCGGGGGGGGGGGGGGCAAGGCAAGGCAACGCGCGCCTGAGTCCGCTGGGGGGCGGGGCCTGCAGGCCGGCGCGGGCGGGCCGGGCCCCTCAGTCGCAGGCGCGGAACTTGTGGTCAGCGCTGTGTGTGGGGCAGGAGTGCAGGCTCCAAACGGCTCCATCGAGTGCTGTCCTGTGCTGGTGTGGGCCATCGTCCGCTGCCTGGCTGGAGAAGCATGTTTGCTGCAAGTGTAGAACCTCGTCTTCCCACAGCGGGGGGTGGGGCAGAGGGCGCTCAAGCCGCTCGCCCTCGAGAGGCCCGGCAGAGGCCCCCCCGAACCTAGCTCCGGGAGGCTCCCCCCGGGCGCCCCGTCGGTCCACGAGCCCCAGAGATTGGAGGCCTGGAAAGCAGCACCTACACCAAAGCAGGGGGTTGCGCCCACGGGGGGGCGGATGATCATAACTCTTGATGTTGGTGGTGGTATTCCCGCCACCAGGAAGCCCCGAGTATGACCAGCATCGCCGAGATCGGGATCATCTTCCCTCGGTGGAGGCACACCGCCGATATAGGTGCTGGTGCCAACCTCTAGGCCTCAGAAAATCGCTTCGGCTGGTCCGTGAAACCCCGACCTGTCCGGACGTGGAGTCGCGCAGCGCTGCGGATACCTTCATCGTCGTCGCCGCTGCCGCTGCTGTTCTTGACAACATCGGCTGAGAAGGTGATCACACGCCCTGGTGGCCCAGCCACCTGCCTCCTCCGCCTTCCTCCCATCTCCTCTCGAATCCCTCGTGCTTTCTCCTTCCAGCTCCCCCTCCCCCTCCTTCTCCTCCTGCTCCCTCCTCCTCCTGCCCACCCCCCTCGAGTGTATAATGTTTTCTGTGCTGATCCTGGCCGTCCTGTCAGTGTCTCTTCGTTTCCTCGCCGCTGCGCCGCGCGTCTCCCTCCTTCCTCCCGCCCCCCCGCCTCCCTCCTCGCCTTCCCTCTGCTGCTGCTGCTGCTGCTGCTGCTGCTGCTGCTGCTGCTGCTGCTGCTGCTACCACCTCTGTGTTTTTGTGCTTTTGGATCCCAGCTTCGCCCCTTCCGACACTTGAGCAGGGACCGACCGTCCCGGCATTCCTGTAGGCCTACCACGAAATCTTCTTAGACCCCCCCCAGAATCTAAGAACAAAAACCATGCTCTTAGAACGTGAACCCGATGTATGAAACCAGGGCGGCCTCGGCAAGAGATGTCCTCAGATCATCTCGTGCAAACCACAAGGCTCTTAGAACACTATTTGGTGGGCCTTCTAGGCACGCCAGGAGGAGGAGGAGGAGGAGGAGGAGGAGGAGGAGGAGGAGGAGGAGGAGGAGGAGGAGGAGGAGGAGGAGGAGGAGGAGGAGGAGGAGGAGGAGGCTCCGCCACTGCTTGAGACACACCCCTCACATCGGTCGTGCCACCGTGCCTCAGGCATCTACGCCCGTGGCCGCAGGTGGGGGAACTGCCACGCGGGCCTCCGCCCCTTTGTCGGCACATCCCACCGGGAGCTCCGCCTCTGGCCCTCACGGGCCCAGACATCCCGCTGCTCCCCTGTTCTCGATGCGTGGGCCCCAGAGGTCCGGACCACTTCCCCAGGGCCGGCTTTTCGTCCTGGGTCGTTTCTTGACGGCCCCGACGCCCAGCCAGGGCCCCTGGAAGCCGAAAGCGGCCGAAAACCGCCCGCTGCATTTTTTTTGTCGGAGCGTCGGGTCTCCAGGGGGAGTTCGCACAAAGGGGCCCTTCCCCTCTCGGCACACCGCTCGCCCGCAGCGTGCCCCACACGGGGGTCTCCACCTCTGGCGCCAATGGGGGACCTCACACGCGGGCCTCCGCCCGCTTCCGCACACCTCTCACGCGAGCCGCGCCCAAGACAGACAGGCGCGCTCCACTACTCGCAGAGCAAAAACTCGCAAACGGCCCTGATCCGCCGCGAGGGACTTACGATCTACTGCATCGAGGAGGCACTCCTCCTCCTCCTCCTCCTCCACCTCCTCCTCCTCCTCCTCCTCCTCCTCCTCCCCCTCCTCCTCCTCCTCCTCCTCCTCCTCCTCCTCCTCCTCCTCCTCCTCCTCCGCCTCCTCCTCCTCCTCCTGTTCGGACGTTTGCGAGCAGGCACTTTGCGAGCAGCGGAACGCGCTCGGTGGCAAGAAGGACCTCCTCCTGTGGCCCCTGCGAATGAGCTTGCGGGCCTCCGCCCACCTCGGCGCGCCCCATCGCACGCACTCGTGCCTCACAAGGAGCCTCCACCTGCTCACCTCCCAGTGGGGCGGATGATCCTGCTCACCTCGGCGCACCACTCACACACGGAACCCTGCGCCCAGGGGCACCCCGACCTGACCCGTCCTCTACAATCAACCCGCATGGTAAGGATGTGGGCAACCTTACCAAGGGTACCCTTTCATCCTTGCTCCTTCGGCCCATCCTTAGCGACTTGTGCTGGCCAACCTCGTTCGAGCAACGTTCACATGGGCCTCCAAGGTCCTTGCATCCATACCGCGCATTCTTATGATATGGGTTGACTGTACTGCGAATCTTAAAGGGCTGCCGCGAAGGGGTCTCAGAAGGCAGACGGGCTTCTGAGAGGCGCAGCGCCTCCTCAACAAGCCGCCCCCCCATCGCCCCGCCCGGCCAACGTCCACTCCATCGTCTCCTCCTGGGCTCCATCCTGACTGGCTTTCCGAGCCGCGCTCGGCCGCGGCGACGAGGGGCGGGGGTTCCGACGGGCACAGAAGGTTGCGAAGACCGCGGGGGAATCTGCGGCAACTTCTGCGCGCCAGCGAGGGGAGTCGCCCGTGGCGGGGTTCGTATTTCGATGTCGTCGGCGTTGGTTCTTTGTGGCTCGTTCCACCTTGAACGATCGCCGCTCCCCAACAGCGCATATCGTTCGATGTCGGCCGATCCTGGACCACTGGCGCCAATCAACTCTGAACGCCCTCGCCGGCATCGCTGCTGCGCCGCACCGACACGAACCCACTGTATGCGTCTGCGCGCCGCTGAGGGGGGTCGCCACGGTTTGTTCCTCGACTTTTGCACGGCGACACTCGGCGACAGCTCCCAGAAGAGGACCAGCCCACTGGCAGCAAATGGGGCCAGGCTGCCTGGGGTCGTGCTGCTGCTCCTTCTCGCTCCAGCCCCCCCTTGTCCAGCTCAGCTGCTCCACCTGCTCATCCTTCTCCTGCTGCTGGCCATCCTCGCTGCTCGTGGTCCTCATCTGATGCGTTTCCTGGAGGGACGCCAGCGAAAGGGACTTCTGAGACCGCGGCGTCGCATTGGAGACCTCTACAAGCGACTGATAGCGTCCCGTGATGACCTCTCGCGCGAAGCCGAGCGGACCTGCGAAATCGGCATCGCCCGTCCCAAGAGTCCCTTTCTCTGGGGCCCCTTGTGGAATAGCATGATCGTCCTCCCCGCTCCTCGTCCTCCCATTTGATTGACCCGAAAGGGGGTCCAGCTTAAAGGGGGTGGTGTAATAGATTTGGGGCATCTGTATTGCACATGTATTGCGCTGGAGAATTGTGTTGCCTTGTACTGCAACTAATGCATTGCACGCGAAAATCCGGCAATACATTTGAGCCGAAGAAGGGATCGCATGCCCCAAACCTATTGCAACCCATGAGAACAACCCCAATTAGTGGATGGTTTTCGCTGAGGAGATCGACCAGGAACCCGGGAGCCCGGGAACCCAGAACCCACCGAAACCGGCCCGGAACCAATAACGGGGAACCCGGGAGCCCCGAACGGGACATCCGGGAACCCAGCCTGCTACCAACATCGGCGGGAAGCTTTCGCCAAATGTGTCAACTTCCGCAAGGACCCCTTCAGTGCAAGCACTGACTGGGGAGCAGACCTGTGGCACCAGATCTCTTGCACCACCCCCTTGTAGCTGGACCCCTTTCAGGTCAGCCAGACCCCCTGGCACCCCGCGTGGTCAGACCACGGGGCGGATCATGCGGCGGCTGGCAGGCCACCGGCTGCTGCGGGAAGTCCACCAG